GTTTCCGTTTCTTGCAGTAATAGTCATCCGTACTAGACAAACAACCCGTTCAGTGCGAAGCCGCCACCACCCCCTTCATGCCAAACTACTTTCGCTACCTAACGCTCGTGGCCTTTTACACTTTCTACCAACTCAAGGTGCGCCAGCAATCCTGACCATTTATCTGTCTAATTTAATCATCAGGTTGATGCGACAATTCTTGAGGTAGGCATTGGTGGCCGCTCTGACAGCACAAATATCGTCCCCAAACCAGTCGTTACAGGCGTTACCGCCCTCGGGTATGACCACACAAGGCTTTTGGGGGAAAAGCTCAGTCAGATTGCAAATCAGAAGGGTGGAATATACAAGGCGCGTTTATTTTTCAGGTCCACGTCATAAGTATTTGACTGATAGAATAGGAAGGGGTTCCGGCCCTTACTGTTCAACAACCTGAGGAAGGCATATTGGAGCTTGGTGTTTGTGCAGTAGAGCAGAGGGTAATTCGCACCCTCTTAAGTCTTTCACCTACCTGTAGCTCATACGTGTTTGCACCACAGGCATCTCAGTTCACAGTTATTGACGCCCTCCCTTCCACTATCCCATTAGGCATGTTTTTTCTATATCTTGCCGATTATCAACACAATTAACTCGTTGTGATAGGTCTTGCAGGTGCTCACCAGAGATCGAACGCGGGTCTCGCGGTACAATTGGTGCATACATTCCTCAGCATCAAGGATCAGTCATACTCTCCTATGTCGGATCCCAACACCAGTGGTGTTGCTAGCGCAACATGGAGCGGATCAGAGATAGAACCATTGAGATTCCTCCCTGCATCCTTTATGGACGGCCTCAAAAATGCTCACTGGCCTGGCCGTTGCCAGACAGTACCCGATTCGAAGCTTGGGGCTATGACATGGTTCCTCGATGGGGCACATACACAAGAAAGCCTTGCGTGCTGTCTGGAATGGTTTGTAAGCCCAGCAGTCGGGCTTCCCGTGTACGCTTGTTATCTGCATTGGTTTCAATGTCATCCAGTTGATATCAGATTCCAGTTCCCCCGTTTCTGACGATCACCCACCCCGAGTGCTAATCTTCAATTGCACCAGTGGACGTTCAGGAGATGCTTTCCTGACAGCCATCTTGGAAAAAGTGGAGGAGCAACTGGCGATCCATGGCAGCCTGGAGAAGAAGGAAGAATTTTTCGCCAAGGTCATTTTCTGCAGTAATGTGACATATGCCAGCGGCAATTTCAAAGGCGGTAAGTGCTGTCACCCATCTCAAATGCAAGCTTATATGTACATCCGACAGACCTTACCTCCGCCGCAATATCTACTACTGATAACCTCAATCTCAAGACTCAGAGAGAGATTGAGGCAGCCTGGAACAAGCTTGTCCCAACTTACTCTGGCACAGTGCACGTTCTGCCATCTATCGAGGACGCTGTGGAAGAAGCGCGTAAGACACTCGACGTTAGCGTGCTCGTCACGGGGAGCTTGCACCTTGTAGGCGGCGTCATCGAGGTCGCAGGCTTGGCAGACAGAGCCTTGAGCCCGAAAGCATGATAATATTTGTGATTTCATCATCATTTGCACTGGCTCTCATATAGCTATCCAACTTAGCATGGTTCTGTCTCGAGCTTGCTTTTTCGAATTTGTCGATTCCGGCTTTCAACACGTCGACCTTTAGAATTATTGGTTTATCCTATTGCGGTACTGACTTGTTTATATCTAACTGTAGCCATATTACCACCCTTCAACAGGATTCTAGCTAGATCTCTGAGCTCTAAAGTCTATTCCAGTTCGCTATACTATAAAAAGATTTGAGATGTAGAGTATAAGGGACTACAGCACAATGCAACTTCACAATCCCATCTTACTTCCATGCAGTGAGATTCTCTTCGCCACCACGGGTGTTCACCTCCACACCCACACTGCGGAACCCGCTCGTCGGACGTGGAGAGTTGGGCAGTAGCACAGGCTGTACGGGCATCGTATATTTGAGATCCAGATCCTCCAGAATGCTCTTTAGATGTTTCATGAATGCAGTTCTCCGCGTCCAGCGTCCTCCCCAGTCCTGCCAGTTCGGGCGATCTGAAGCAGGTATCAGACCCCGTAGTCAAACTAGTACGCAGACACTTACGTTCAACGCCCACCGTCAGATGAATCGCGTTCTGGAACTCCATTTTGTCGATGTTCACCGCAGATCCACTCCATTCCCTGTTATTTGCTGTGATGTATGCTTGAATGCGTGCCTTGAGCTGCTCAACGAGCTCGAGGGGTGTGTTGTATGCTATCATTAGTGTCGTGCTCTCCCACATGCTGTTTGACCGCCGCAAATTATGGACGAGTTTTGTGCTTGACAGCAGTGAATTCGGTGCGATAATTTCTTGGCCATCGACTCGACGAAAAGTAGTGGAAAATAGACCAAATTCTTTGACAATGAGGTACTGAAGAGATACTTGTCAGTTCGATGCAAGTTGTTCGCGTAAGGAAAACACCTCACCTGGTCGTCAATCATAACCAAATCGCCGACATCGAAGACATGTGTAGAAAATATGAAGATCATCTGTTTAAGCACAAGTGAACTTGACATGCATGATAGACGAGCGAATTGCTCCAGCTTACCGACTCAAACAGGGTCTGCGCAGAGTGTCCAAAGATGAACGAAAATCCAAGAATGATTGTTGCAAGAGGAACAAGCGAGGCTAGCGTGTCGCTCCTGTTAAAAATAAGGAGACATGTGAAGAGAATCCCGAGCATTGCAACGCAGACAAGGACTGCATCTAGCTTCGCCACGGCTGAACCAACGTCCTACATGAAGCAATGAGCAGTATTTCTCAAATGAAAACATGAACTCACTTTCAGACTGGCAGTCAGGGCCTTACGCTCTCGATAAATCCTCTGTACAGCTTCCCTCATTTCTCGCTTACTAATGTCACCATTGCCGTCTTTATCAAAAATAGCAAAAGCAGCATGCTACTGAAACTGTGAGACGGATGAACTCATAGAGATGCCGTGACCTACCGCCTCAGCAGTCGAACGGAAATAAGGGTAGAAATCTATCAAGAACCCATGTGAGGCCATCTTCTTTATCATAGATTTACCATACCTTCAACGACAAGATGAGAGCGTCCAGGGCTGGTGACACTGAGAGCATGAAAGAGCTTCCTTGCGAGCTTCCGTGCAGAATCCAGGGCATAGAAGTCGCTACCTCGGTTAAAATTGGAATTCTTAAGTGCAACTTGCCCAATAGCGCCGGTCAGCTGGTCGACAACAACAGTTGGCATATACCTCTTGCGTTGTCTTTTCATCTCTGCACGTCTAGTATGGCGCTTTTTGTCCGACCGATGGTGTGCTTCGTGTTCGTGTTTCTCGAGAACAGGTGTAGCAGCTGTACTGACCTGCCCACTGGCTGTTCCATCTGTATCATCTCGGCGGTGACCCTTACCGTGAAATGCGGAAAGGTCAAATGCAGTCCCAAAAGAACTCAAAGTATTTTTGCGACCTTTCTTGACGTTTGGACCTTTCTTTACGGGAGCGGGTTGTGCATTTGATAGATGGTCCAGTGCCCTCAGTCCCGTCCGATTCTCCGCGAGACGATCTGCGAGTGCACGTTGGTGGAAGTTGATGGCGACAAATCGTAAAAACAATTTTTCCACCAACAGGATGATACTTGCAGTAAAGAGAGCCTGTTGAATGGAATGACATTTAGTCAATATGATAAAGACGAGAAGAGCATTTTACCTGCATCACACGGTTGATAATAACCCAGTACGTGCCAGGAGGATTGTAGAAGGTCGTGATTGCAGATAGTGCTATCCAGGCCCATGAAATACCGAGTGCGAGTTTTAGCCATGCCGAAACAGCAAGTGTCAACTGCACCAATGAATTCAGTCGGACTGCCCAAGAGAAGTCCGAGCATTACATACTTCAATCTGCGTCTTCAAACGCTCGACTTGGCCACCAAGTAAGAAAATAATGTAGATTACAATGCGTGGAATTGCATCCACAACCAAATATGTTGCGCAGGAGGCTGCCCAGGTGATCGACAACCAAAGGGACCAAACACGGACTTGCAGCCGAGCACTTTCCTTGTCCTTGAACCTCAACTCCACTACCAGCAACGGAATTATGAAGAATGCAGCACCAAGAATGCCGAATACCAGAGCCCTGACTGGTCTTGCGAGCTTCATGAAGCCGAGCCAAAGGGCCCTGCCCCTCCTCGCTTTTTTGCCAGTTTCTGGATTCTCTACTTGACTAGCGACTTCTTCTTCGTCCCAGTCAAATTCATCCGAAGAATTTGTTGAGGTTGTATCGGAATCGCCATCTTCTTCTATATGGATTTGATCCAGTGTCTCGGACTGATTCCCCTTTTCATCCCGGGCGCAGTCATATTCTTTGGACTTGGAATCTTCGAGGAGAGTGGTGTCGTCTTCAGGAGAGCGACGTCCAGGCATAATTATTCATCAAACGCAAGCAACGAAGTTCGAACGGAGAGAGTAACTTATATGTAGGTGGGATAAAAAACCTTATTAGTGCTTGCCAACATTAATATTGGAGACTACTCTCCACAGATGTCTCATTACGTAAAACTTACCGTCGCCTTATTTTGATCGTTTATTGGAATGCTGTGAGTTATTGAGGGCAAAATGTAAGGCGATAGTAAAACATTATAGTCAGATCTAATTGTTGTGCTACAAAATAGCACCACGGAAATGAATAAAGAGGCAGGAAAGACACGTTCAGACCATAATGTTACAAACTACAGCGAGAATCAATGAATATTATTATTATAAAATATTTGCAATCATCAATGTGATCAGTTCATTCATCGTTCAAGCGCTCAGATTTGAGCGCTCGAGTCTTGTTGAAGACGCCGATTGCTTAAACTGAAAACGGCCACCAATTGAGCGCTCATTAACATTGATCACAAATTGATCAATCCCGGCTCGGCTCGTTGTCATGGTGAGAGATGCTGACAGGGAATGACCTGGTATATGACGTTCTGATGATGAGGCTGAAGCTGCTGATGCATAGATGGACTGCGATGCAAGTCTGCCGGATATTTAATAACAATCATGGATGTTCGTCGAATTAAATACGTATAAAAGTAGTTTGAAGTGGAATCTGCATCTGAAAGAATAAATTGGGGTGAACTCGACCTGATAGTGCACTAGAAGTAGGTCGTTCCCCTGATCCACGCCGCCGTCACTATGCTTATATCACAGACCAGAAGTTTGAGCATGTCGCGCAACGAGGCCCAAGTTAGATTGCAAGTGGCCGAGGGCGCTTTCACCGAAAGCCTGGGTCAGCGCTGGTCCCGACTGCGCACGAGGATACGAGTTTACTCGACGAGCAAGCATGCTATTTCCAAAAGCTTGAGTGCAGGGAACATCGCTTCTACCTCCATGGATGGAATTAGACACCCGAGCGTCTATGACGGGGCCTCCGTGCTGCATAGAAGTATCAAGGACGGCCCGCGCCCTTCCTAGTATACTACTGCGTGTTTCAGGGAGAGACTTGACGGTCCCTAAGATTTGAGGGCGTCTGCTTTTCTTCGTCCGGGAGCCTTCATTGACAACCGTTTCCAGGAAAGTGGCCGACTTTTGGCCGACTTCTGTAGCCTTTTGGTCACTCCGTTGAGAAACGTTCTGGTCTGAGGATGATTGAGTCTCTTTGTATATAAGCATGCGAACTGTTTCATCGAAAAGGAACTTCTTTTTTGCGCAGTTTTGGATATGGATAACTTTTTGGCTTGCAGTCTTTGTCGAGGTCCACTTCAAGTTGCAGCTAACGCAGGTTGTAAGAGATGCAAATTGCACATCTGAGAAGTCATTGGAGAAGCGATGGATACTGGGGCGCTTCAGTCTGGCTTTCGGAGCAGAGGTTGATTCTGGAAGTTTGTCTGCTACGACAGTGCTACCCCAGCACGACAAACCTCCGAGGTCGGTGATCTTAGGTTTGGATAGAGGCGCTCGGAAAGCAAAGCGAGACAGTGTCAGGCGGGAATCGCCCTCGGAGTCGCTAGACAGCGGCACTTCCAGGGTCGCAATAGGAGGCGGGGTGGGGCATGTAGAAGTGCGGTCCATACCGGTCATATTCTGGGCTTTATAGGGCCCGTTCGTTGTATTGGGTACATTGACGCGAGGTGTATCAATCGCAAAATGGTCGGCATTTTCAAGTTCCCGGGAAGAAGCCAGCTCTGTGAGTGGACTACAACTGGAAGCTGAGAGGACATGAGCACCAATAGTTTTGAAGATACGGTCAAAAAAGGCTCACCGCCACTACTAAGTTCGTCGATCTGGCTCTGACCACCTACAGTAGCTGATGGACCGGAAGGATCAAGTTCGGTATCAGTTAGCTCAATAACATCTTGCTCTATATCAGCCCATGATGGGTCCAGCCGCAAACGTTTCTTCTTCCTTGTTTGCTCCCTCATCTGTTGCCTTTTTTCCTCCCTTTCGGGTTCGGAGTCTTCCACGAGCTCGTTATCGTGTAGTAGCCTGCGTTTAGTAATTTCTGGCATGGCGTGGATTGGATCCCATGTAATGTTTCATGCAAATAGAGGACGAAGTAAACTGATTGAAGTTTGAACCCAGTAGTAAACTGTGAGACGCGTTATTTGAGTCTGTTTGGTTCTTAATTACTTACTTCCTTAAAACGTGACCTAATTCGGACTTCTAGTGGCACCGCGTTCTTCTTAGGGTCGAGTTATCCGATCCTTTGTCGATAGCAACGTGAAGAAACATGGCCAAACCCTCCAAGCTTGAGCACGTCACAAAAGTCGTTGATCCTCAGGAGCTATATCGAGTCATCAGTCAAGCGTCGTCCCAAAACCCTGCCGAAGTCCGCGCGTCGAGTAAACGCGTCGAGGAATTGTTGGACTACTTTGGGACTTTCGATGGTTTACATGAGATCGCCGCCACCCGATCAGTACCGCTGCCTGTGAGGAAGCAAAGCATTATTCAATTCAAAAACAAGGCATTGAATCACTGGAGATCACGGAAGTACGTGTTTCGCTTCAATGTATGATCTATTCGCTGACATAAAGCAGACTTTTATCAGACGAGCAACGAGTTAGGATTCGGTCACGGTGTATGACCTTTTTTGATGAGGAAGATGATACGGCAAGTATCGCCACCCGATGTGCTTTCGTTTAATTTACGACTGACGTGATAAGATTGTGGAGTGTAATGAAGTAATCGTTGCGAAAATTGCTCGCCAAGATTACCCCATGCACTGGTACCTCTGATGTCATCTCACTGGGTTCGCAGCGTTAATCTCTCGATCAGGCCTTCCCTGCTAGCCGACATCATGGATGTTATTCGCACAAATCTTGAAGTCCTCTGTGGTTCTCCCAACGGCGACCCGCGGTCAACCCTTGCCCTTCGCAGGGGTCTCGCACTTCTCAACAGTGTTCTGAAGGAGTTCAGCGGTGTCAAGCTACTGGCTGGCGTGAAAACAATGGTTCATGCACGTCGCTCTTCATTTCATCACTACTGCAGAGCCTCATTCTCCATTAGATCATCGATCAACTGCATGAAGTGATGTTCGCTTACTACTCCAAACTGTCGTCAATGATTTCCGCACTCGTGCCGCTAGCGCTCAGTGATCAGCGCACCGCTGACAATCTCATCGTGGCTCATTTCACCTATAAGTGTCTCGTAAAAATGGCTCTGTGGCTCTGGCCTAGACTCGCTCAGCCTGATGGCGGCTTTGCGAAACTTGAGCCTTGGGTTTGTTTTTTCCATGCAAGAATCCACGCGTGACTAATCGACTATCAAATATGCAGTTCTTGCAACTTTTCCAGAGTTCAACCGGACAATTGAAGATACTGTCTGAACTTCGAATCAACCTCGTCCTTGCCTTGAGAACATCCGGACCATCAGATCGTCTCACCCTTTTGTCCGTTGACAGACTGACCCGTCATGTCCGCGTTTTTGGGAAATTTTTCCGCAGACTACAACAACTTAAACCAGATAAATTTGTTCAGCTTCCCACAGGTAACGAAATCGTCCTTTACTATTGGGATAGAGTTGTGCAAGCCACCAATGGTCCGCCAGAGCTAATTCAAGGTCTCTAAGTTTACTTCCATGTTGATGCTGGCTTTGCTCATCGTACCACATAGACGCTCCAACGGCGGTTTTCCCGGTGCGTTTTCTCCTCCAGGCCATGGTCTTGTTCAAGGAAAATCTCTCGAGATGGACGCCGTTTCGCAAAGGTGGCCCAAAAACCGAGACTAGTATTGACTGTCTTTGGGAGTTGTGGTCTTGTGCTGATGAGAGTCGCCCAGCTCTTTCGCAAGAGTTTGTCGAGGATGCCGTCCGGCTTCTCGTGACACGTTTCATCCCCTTGAACCTGGCAGATCTCGAGGGTTGGATGTCTGATCCAGAAGAGTGGGTCAATCTAGAAGACAAAGAAAACGATCAATGGGAGTATGAATTGCGAGTGCGTTCCACATGTAGACCCAGCTTGCCACAAGACTCATCATTTTAGCCATGCGGTGAACGCGTCTTGATGACTCTGTCATCGCAATACAAGGTTTATGTCACGCCACTACTCGAGACAACCTTCAAGCAGATAATTGGTGAATATACAGTTCACCTGTTTTTCTATATTGACGAGCCCATTTCCAGCGCAACCAACGGTTGATTCGGCAAGTGTCATACAAAAAGAAGCTCTCTACTGTGCTATCGGACGCTGTGCGACTCACCTACAAGAGGTAATTCCTTTCAGCCAGTGGTTGCAACATAACCTCCTCGCAGAAGCAAGGGAGACGAACCAATAGCAAGTCTACTTTGTCTTTCTACATCACAATTACATTCACTCATATAGCACCACAGCTATCCGATCATCAAGCGCCGTATAGCATGGCTTATTGGAAAATGGATTAGCGATATGTGTTCACCAGCCAACGATCCTAATGTTTGGGACATCCTGCTCCACTTGCTGCGAGACAGAGGTGCCGGCACGGATTCGGTTGTTCGTTTGACTGCCGCCACAGCCTTGCGGGAGTGTGTCGATGTACGATTTTTTTTACATATTCACGATCCTATGTTCACACTATATAGACTGTCCATTTCGACATCGATGTCTTCGCACCTTACTTGCCTACTGCGGTTACTGAACTCTTAAAACTTATGGGCGAAGCTGACACAATGGAAGCGAAACAACGTCTAGCCAAGAGTCTCAACGTGGTGATCGAACGCGCGGGTCCTCGAGTAAGTTTTCCGTGCAACGCTGTAGCACATTCATTATGCGCATTTTTTTTAGATTATACCACACGCACAAATGATTTCAGAAGGCATCCCTCAGTTGTGTAAGTCTATTACCACTTCTTTAGCCACACAGTTTGTTCAACATAGTTTAGGGACTGCTGCGGGCGAGGAGTGGTTATTCAAAGCTCAACTCTTGGTTGTCGTGACAAGTCTAGTCTCGGTGAGTTTTTGACATCACAATACCAGTCATACTCATGCACTACAGGCGACGAAGGAGCAGCCGTCTTTAAACAGTCTTATTGTCCCCCTTGTCCAAGAAGGTCTTTCTCAAGGCGTAAGGCTTCCCTGTGTGCTTGACGTGCTATATGCTAATGCGAACAAAGGTTGCTATCAACCTCGATGAAGATGCGCTTAATCTCTGGCTTGCCGCCGTTCGCAACTCATCATCGTTGGGCTATGCTGGTGGACCCGGTCTCGTCGACCTGGTCCCTCTAGCAGTCTCTCTGTTGTCAGACAATCTAGATTTGCTTGGAAAAATAGTGTCTATAGTCGAGTCGTGTTTGTTTGTCGACGCTCCTGCCGTCTTGCAGGTACTTTCTTTATCACTCACCTAAGGGCGCCGCTAAGTGTTTAGAGCTTTGCCCAACCGCTAATGAATGCTTTTGTAAAGGCACTTACAGGCCAGGCCATAATGACCAATCAGAAAGACATACTGGTTTGTCTCCAGTTCCTAACTCAGCTAGCGCCCGCTACGCTTTGGGGCCAAGCCATGCATTTTGCTGGTTTGTTTAGTCACGTTGTTGAACTTTTGAATCACGACGAGGTAAGTTGTCTGTACTGATTGAATACAATGCGCATGTGCTCAAAATTCACAGAGCTCTCCAAGTTTGCTCACCGAATGCATATATCTGCTCGCAAGGATCGCCCTAGCAGACAGACAGATGTTTTTGCAGCTTGTATCAGCAACAGCGGAGACTATGAATCTCTCTGAAGCTAAAATCTGGGAAGCAGTGCTGGACCATTGGTGGCGGCAGGTTTGTCTTATATTATCACGAAACGTTAAGCTTGTTCACATGCTTTGCTCACATGGCAGTTCGACCATATGTCGGAGCCTCGTCATCGCAAACTAGCTGCCCTTGGCATTGCGTCTCTCGTATCAACCGGTCGTCCTGAAGTGCTTGATCGCTTACCGAACGAGATCTTCAACCTCTGGACAGACGTGTTCTTTGAGGTCAAAGAGAGCAGGAGCTTGGCTGAAAATGAGGATGCCAGGTACGTTTGTAATGGTGAATGTTGTCAATGCATCCTGATGCTCTAACATACTAATTACAGCCCTTTGACACTCCACTGGGACCTTGATCAAGTACCGCAGTCGTACTATGCAGGTTCTGAAACTACCGTCGAGTTTGATCGTCGAAAAATGGTCGGTAATTTCGAAATTTTCGTTGTTCCTCACTCACCCCACACGTACCCGGCAGTTCCTAGACAATGATCCTGTTCGCATCACGCAGCTCACTAATTATGTGGCTGCAGCATTACAGGAAGCTGAGCGCAACTGCGGGGGCATTCATATCTTCAATCAGTATATAAACAAGACAGATCCCACTTTGCTCAAACAACTCCAGAATGAACTTCAGACGCAGGAATGAAGGAACGAGAGGGGGCGTCACAACATATTTTATTCTCATCACATCCCTAGTTGTACAATCTTACTAGATGCTTCATGTTTGTGCGTCGCTGTAATTAATATCGCGGTTTCTTAATTGAGATCACAGTGAATTTGAGTATATTCTGCAAATGTATTTATGCATCTAGTAACAATGTAGTAGGAGTCTGACAAGTTTTATCTTGACCGAAGTGTGACGGCAATTGGTTTTGGTCTTTCCATCGCTGTCGGGACACGAATGTTGATGAGGGAGTGCGGACTACTTGATACATCGCTGGTAGTATTCTCCAAGCTTGGTCCGAGAGTCCGCCAGTCTGCAAGAGATGAGGAGTTCGGAAGTTTACGGGAGCAAGTACAGCCAGGAAGACAGTGTTCCTTTGATACAGAGGATGTCGGTCTGTTTTGACGGGTAACCAAGGAGAAGGGTCGAGTTAGAGACGAAAAGGCGTATGCGACGATGATATGCAGTGGGAACGGAGACGGACTCGAATCAATGTCACGAGACCAAATATCCTGATCATGCAAAACCTGAGTAAGAAGGGCAAGGAGAATGATGGTTGTCACGTATATGAAAACTGCAGTCATATTAGACGCACGGCCCCACGCAATCAAAGGACATCGACATACCAAGAGCTGCGTTGAGCCATATAAGTGTTGCGAGACACAGGTAGGCGGTATGCGCAGTAGGCACATTTGCGATGTTGAGATTGACGGAGAAAAGACCTAGTACTGTGAAAGTAAATAAATACTTGGTTTCCCCTCGTATAAAATGACCTACATATTTCGAAAGGTAACAAGGCAAACGTCCATGTGGCCTCTACTGAAACGAGCTGCGGTTTATGTACCACCTTGGTAAATATTCTGCATGATTTAGACAAGCTCTGATGTGCAAAGGCTGATAACAGAATGAGCTTACGTCCATATCGAGCCGATGAATGCGCCTGTCGGGATGACGATCACAGCACCGATGTTCTTCGACTTGGAGTATCCGGCCCCCCAGAGAAAGAGGGAGAGTGCAAGGCATACGAGAGAGAGCATCCCAATCAATCCTGAAAAACAAATGGGTCAGAATTGATGTCCAGTTATGTCTAGAGTAGAAAGCGACCCATCGAGAACCTTCGGGCAGTCCTAAAGCTGATGGCCATCGATTCGTGCCCAAACTCTGACTTTAGTAAGAAGAAGGGAAGTGCAGACTGGCACAGACGCAGAAAATATAATGACAGACCTGGCATGATTATTCGAAACCTGTCTAGTGGTCTAGTGTATCAGACATGACTCTGAGTCAGACCGGTTGAAACCTAAACGTAAAGGGTCATCACACAGTATGGTCCAAGTCTAAACAAGTCCCATTATCTTCATCACTAGCCGACTCCGCTCTAAATCTCGACGACCTCGAGCTCAAGCCATTCTAGATTCAAAAATCAGCATGTAAAACTTTCTTCACAAGAGGATAAACCTACGACTTCTTGAGTTGTCTTAGCAAATAGATTCTGTCCTTATTACCCATATCTCATCTGGACTGCAGGAACCGAACCTTCTGTCCAATACAACCTCAACGTAAGGCAGGGATGTTGTTACGTCCTCCCATCACTCACCCGATTTTTGTTCTAGATGGCTCTTTCATCACTGGTCCCAGACCGTGCCTGCAGTTGATAGCTAACGGGTCGAAGTCCAGCATTTATCACCTACGCCCCGGGGACATTATATCCGCTGCACTAAACAAAACTCGATTCCCGCTAACGCCAAGAACCCATGGATATTGGTCATAGAAAACACGGGCATTTAGAGGGTCTCAGTATTTCCATGGTACCGTGGAACATTCCTTCACAGACGTCAAGGTAGAACAAAATCCTAGTGGAAATGATGAAGACGGGATGCGGATAAAATGTGAGGATGGATATTAGTCGATGGTGAGGGTCTAACGTCCGCATTGTTTGTTGGGCCTGCATCTGCGGTTGTGAGCTATGTTCAATGTCGTCCACTGAAAGGATGCACCTTCTCTTCATCATCGGTGGTACATGCAACAACAAACGCATCGGTAATTGTAGTGCTTGGGACATATCATCGATTGAGTAGATCTTCAAGCTATAGCTGGCAATCAGTAATCTATCACGGCCGAGAAAACAAAAATCTATTCAGTCACCAGGCACTGAGGACGCTCTAAATCGAGTGTCAATTGTCAGGCCATAGCCAACTATGTCTGATCAAAGGCTCACAATGGACGTTGTAGAGTATTGCCAGTCCCATATCTGCAACCACCATATGGTCCGGTCGCGTGTAAAGCTGCCCGCATCATCAAACCTGAGGGTGCACCAAAGAGCGATACGCCTCCCCAAACCCTTGAGCTTCCCACTGTTTGGTTCAAAGCGAATGTTCTCGCACTGGTGTGGCCCCAACACGGACAGTGTTTGTCCGGCAGCCTGGGGGTGATCACCGCCTCCATCCAGGGCTCCAAGTTCAATAAAGAACTTCACGTCGCCCGGTTGAAAAGTAGTGGCATACACGATGATGATCAGATTTTGCGCTGGGTTCATGAGCACATCGATACTGTCTGTATTTGGAACCTAAACACAGTGATTGCAGAGATAAATCACGCCCAATTGTTTTCTATAAGGGCTTTCGTGGCATCGGAAAGATCTTAGCTGAATCTTCATCTCGATTGTAGAGGCAGAGATGCTCGTCGGCAAGGAATAGTCTTCCGTCATAGTGCCATATTAGTCTGGTATAATCGATACGGGTTCCGAGGAATTAAACCATGCACGGATTCTATTCCTCAAGAGTTGTAGACACTTGGAAACAGGAGTGTGATTGTTGAGATCCGAATTGAGCCCAGGGAACAGTCACTGACCACCGAGTTCAATGATATACTGAAGCTCCGATGACGTCTGGTGAAGTGCTTTGCATAGCTGCAAGACGATATGATAGTCAGTACACAAAAAAGGACGACGATAGAAAAGTAAATCGTAGCTCCCGGATGCCCAACTAAGAATGTCTTGCCAGGGACAATGGAGTTCTTCAGTGGCAAGAGAGAAAGATTCCGCTTTGTGGTTCATTCCTCTCTCAGTTGCTGCTAGGTCCACGTACTAATACAGCGCTATCTCCTGTAGGCAGACCGAATAGACGCCTGAAGAGGTTCGTTCCGTCTAGATAATATTATCCCTGCCTGGCAGGCAGTCAAGTTATTGAAGTAGTAAGCAAACTCCGAGTCAATTCCGCTTAATACTTGTGGCAGTGCAATGCATATGAGCACATCTACTATTAGGTAGCTAATCGCTTCTAAGTTGATACAGCTTCCTTCCGAACACGACTGCAGACACTCCGTTCCGTGACTTATTTGCTTCAGGTGAAGCGGCACTATGACTCAAGACACCAGGTCTGCGTCCGAGGTTGGACAACGAAGTCTGTTTTGTGAGTACTTGTGACTTCTGGCCGCTGGAAGCAGGTTGACAAGTGAATGCAGACCATGGCCAAGCGAAGGATTTTGTCGACCTACATGAACAGGTTGAGGTACGCATGTTGCCTACTAGAACGCCAATTACTCTTCAAGTTGTTCAACCCTTCAGACGAGCGTAAATCTTCTGGATTCTCTGGAATCGTTTCTGTCTACATTTCAAAAGGACCTTTCTTCTGTATCCGGCCAGATATCAGAGCTACAGGAAAGGAGCAAAGACATCGACAACAGGCTGAAGAGTCGACGTGTAGGTTCATAACTGAATTGGACAGGATGGTGGTCTGATGCTGTGACTCCAGAGAATAGAGAAACCGCTCTCAAGTCTTCTGTCAGACCTTGCTATACCTCCGTCACTTGCAGTTACTATCTTAGACACAGATGTTGGGGAGCCTTGGATAGCAACTATCACTGACCTTGAACGACGGTTAGATATTCTGAAGGTTCGGTCTCGTGTCAAAGCCGCCAGAGATCTTGGAGACATTGCAGAAGGGCTTCGCATAGTAGTGCGTGGATTTATTATTGTCCATTTTTTCATGTTTCTCCAATCCCTAATCAAGGCAGCTACGAAATTACGAACTTTCTTTCTCGCATTGCTACAGCCAATACGAACAAGTGTCACGACGAACATGCAAGTTATGCAGACTTCAATCTTTGTGAAGTATAGAGCACTATATGTATTCCTCCAACGGCAGGCGCCGAACGTTGCCAGCGAGGTTCAAAAGGCTTACACTAGTACAGCCCGCACATACTACGAGACTGGTTTTCGTCGTTATGTTCGCAGCTTAGGATGGATCAAGGTGTTTATGTTATTTATGTCTGGATGCAGTCACTAACCAGAGCGTCAGGCAAGGACCCCAGAGAAACCTGAATCCATCATTTCAGGAAACGGAGACAACGGTGGACCATACCTAGATCAAGATCGTCTTGCGTACGCAAAAATGGATGGACCCAGCGTCATCCTCGCTTATATGGCAGATGACAAGACTCACGTGAGTCCTATGCGGTCGCATTCTGATATCATGCCTATTTTGAGGCAATCTACATAGGAAGAACCTATCGAAGCCATTCTCAGGTCCCTTTTTCTGGTGTTGATGGATAATGCCACCGCAGAATATGCGTTTATCGCTGCCTTCTTCCGTTCTGAGTCCTTTGCGCCCCCTCCTGCAATAGAAACTAACAGCGCCATATTTTCGCCCACTGCCACGGTTTTGTCGCCTGATATTGGCTTTGACGATAGGAGGTCCAACGCTGGTTCTGAAATTGGTACGCACGTCTCAAGACCCTTCAGCGGTGATGGCCACGGACCTCGTGATGTGACAGCACGACCCGGCTTTATGGACAAGACTGAGCGTGCGCCGTTAGATGCCATCTGGAAACAAATCCTAGATCCTGTTCTAGAATATTGCAAGGTACGGCATTTTGTATCCTCTTCGTATTTCCGAGGAGCCAACAATACACAGACTTTCGTGACCACCGTTCTTGAACCCATGCCGCCCGCCGTGCCACTACTCACGATGATCCGACTCACGGAGGCTGTAATTACTGAAGTGCAGAAGAGGGACTGCCCGCCCCTGGAAAACTTTTTGTTTACCATGCGGTTGCAGCTGTGGCCCGCGTTCCAGAAAATCATGTCGGAACATTGTGATTCTTTGAAGAAGCTTGCGGAAGGTAGAATCACTAGCTACTTCAGCAGAGCTACTTCGACGACAGATGCGTCTGTTGCAAATGTAGGTTTCCCTGATGCAGTCATCTGCCAGGCTAATCTTACACACCGCAGATTTGCAACAGATACGTTGTAATGTTTAATTCCTTCGTCATTCTGACTGATCAGGAAGAAGAGACCATGATTTTTTCCAAGTGATCACTTAGTTCTCCTTTCTCTTCAATTGCGCTCAGTGTTTGTACAGCCTCCTTCGTCTCCGACAGGAGCTCACGAAATTGATCGCTTGCCACACGGAGAACATCAACGACGACGTTGCTAAAGCTACCAAACAGTCGGCAATGTATGAGGTTCTTTTGCAGGGACTAAACGTACGTTGTTGTTTCTCGGCCCGTTCAAAGTCATTTTCTGAGAATTTTTTCTTATCCAGAAGGGGACTCATTTGAGCACACACCCCAAATCTCAAAAGGAGATAGCTTACTGGGCGGAGAAAGAAGAAGAGGCTCGACGCCGAATAGTGTCCATTGCTCAAAGTAGACGAATTGGTAAGAGATAACGTCGAACGATCCTAATTAAAGTCCGTTTTTGTGAGATCCGATGGATAAGTAACATGTGATCAAATACGATGCGACAGATCATGATGAACAGAGGAATCAGAAGAAAATGCAACCGGAAACTGATGAGAAAGGAATGGTGGTGCCTCAAACTGATAGCATAGAAGATCAAGCAGGTGATCTGGTGTAGCACATGATCAGTCTAAAGGCACGTACGTGCAAATTTGGTTTGAACACTCACTGGAAGGAAGCCTTCAACAAGCTACTTCCGTTCTGTTTGCCAATTCCCAACCTATTCAAAACATCTCTTACTTCACCCGCACTACTTGTGACAGCACGCTTCTTGGGTCTAGACCGACTTCGCGTTAACCCAAGTGGGCTGGAGCGAAGATCAAGAGAAGGCGAGCATTCGAGGGTAGATACAGAAGGTCGCCTGACAAGAGCTGGATTGGATGCTCCTGCACGTCCTTCAAGCGCATCGCGTAAATCAGTCACACCTACCCCACGGACCGACCGTGTCAGACTTTGTAACGAGAGGTTCTCGATAGCCATAAGAGCAGGTGATAACTTTAATAACGGTGAACCACTGTCCATCATCCTGTGGTTGCTCGGTCTATCCGCTGCTATGGTTTCAGATAAGTAAGTAATCCACAACAAACAGTTCGCCTTACAGTCTCTGAGAGCCGTATCTACCGTCCATTTTGCCGAACAACGACGAAGTAGCCCTTGACGGTCAAGCCCTGTTGCATCTTGAACAGACTTAGAAGACACTAATATCGCCAGTGCCTCCTCGGCATTGACATTTGACCATAGCCCCATTGCTCCTTCTGCCTCTATAGGAGGAAACCTAACTTCTGTCTGTGCTGGTCGTAGGACTCCAGGAATAAACTCTGGGAGAGAGGGCAGGGTTGGTGCCGCTTCCATTGTTGACAAAGCCTGGTCTCGTTGATCAATAATCTCTGCGAGAAGAGGAAAGAGAATCTAGAGTAACCGACCTTTTCAGCGAGGGCCACCAGTTCCGTGCATTCCCAGACGCGACCGAGTACAAGCCAAACGCGAGCAAGCAACTCATGTAGCACCTTCACTCGCTGCTTAGAAGCGTCATTCGTCCCGTCTTCAACGTCGGTAGTTCCATGGAGCGCCATGAGCATCGGGAGACCAACAAGAAGGCCGCGGGTCGGAACTTCCTCATGGATAGCAGACAGTACATACAAGATCAGTGCATAGTCTGACAGGGACGCCGAAGCAGCTGCCGAGACTTTCTCAGGTACGCTCTCCAACAAGCGTTGTGCATTCGAACTTTTACGTATCCGGGCAAGAAGCCCTGGCGACCTCCGGGCAGGGGAAGAGCCTTGCGGGTCGGTGCTATGTCCATTGACGGGGCCTGACTCATTCTGAGGAGCAGGGGCTGTGACTCCGATAGAAGGGATGTCACCACTTGCGGAGTAGGCGGGCGAAGGAGTTGAGTTGAATGAAACGCCAAGAGATGAAGTTGTCGCTAGTATGAAAAGATAAGCATGCGTAGCATGGAGCGATCGTGTCGCCGAGTCGCCGTATGATAGAATGCCGATGTTGTTTGCTTGGTGCGTCGGGCTACCTTCAATGAGAGGGCGAAAACGTCTGACACCGTTTTCATCTGTCATGTCTCCACGTTTTGGAATCTCTTTACGCAAGTAATCAACAAGAGTATGGGCGTAATCGCTCCGTACCGAGTAGTCTCCATCGCAGAGAAGACTCAGGGTCTCGTGCCATACTTCTCCGGATACCCTTGTCCGCCGGGAAAGGTGAGAGAGAGGTCTTTGCGGAGGATCGTTATTCTGTGGAATGGAAGATGAGGGAATATTTTGGGGGGTATTTTTATCATCTGACACCACTTGTGAGCCATCAGCAGCACGCATGAGACCCAGAAGGCCTGCAAGGAGACACCTGATAGCCTGACTTCGTCTGCGGTCACCAGGTTCTTTGTCGCGACCAGTAACCCCTTGCATCTCAACGGTTACAAGGCGGCTGACAAGTTCGCTAGCAAGGTCTTGAATCTGGTCAGAATAGTAGATGTGGGCACCCAAAGAGGATATGCATTCCACGAGCGACGATAGGAGGGCATCCTGAGGATCAATCGATATACGCCGTAGGACCAAAGTGATAAGGTTTGAGATGATATCTGATGTGGACAAATTAACGAGAGGTACGGGGGACGTGAAGACCGCGGGGACCATAGTAGCTAAGGCTCTATGTTGGGCTGTGCATATCGAGGAGTCCTGGATCGAAAGGAGCTGTTCCACCAATCGAGTAGGCACTGCATAGCGATACTGGTACTGGGCCCATTCACACGCCTTTTGAGCTAGCCATCGACTTTGGTCAAGTTTCTCCCAAACTTTAAGATCGCTTAGGCCTTCAAATGTAGCCAGCATCAAGAGCCCCATTTGAGCGCCATCAGAGTGTTGTATCATGTGTTGTAGTGCCCTTAACGATGTATTTAGAACATCGAAGGAAGATGGACCACTCTCCCCGTCTACGTGCGCATGAATGGAGGCAGCACGCCTTTCAATGACAGGTCGAGAACGAAATTCTGCAAGATATATTGAAGTAGCGTTGCTTTTGATAGCCTCCGCACTTGACTCACAATAAGATGAATGTTCTCGCCGTATATAGAACGACGACTTACCACTCGTCGAGGACAGACAACTCCGCATTCATGACATGAAAAAGCAATGCACGCGATATGATTGATACTTGGGGCTTGTATTGGTTGGAAGAGCAATAAAGGGCTTCTGAATTCACAGCGCCTGTAAGAGCAGCCAATCCGACTAGACGAGTCCTGAGCAAGCCAATAAATGACTCGTCAGAAATGGGGAAGCAGAAGACTCGCCTGTTTCTTAGCTCGTGATCAACCGACTTGACGTCGGCGGTGGATAGTTGGGCAAATCGCCTTAAGACAGCGAGGTAATCTCGGGCCAAGTTAGAATCCGCTTCAATGACATGACCGTCAGTGAAAGTGCACCACGCAGTAAACTGTAATCTGAGTGAGTTTTGCTTGAACAAAACGGGCAGGTCTAGCACTAACCACGCTGGCTGCTCGCGCTACTACTTCGAGGTCAGAAGAGAGGGAATCCAACGTGACCTTAAGGCATGCGACCAAAGCTGGGGATAGTAGCGATATATCACGTCGACATTCTACCGCCAACGCGCGCAAGACAGAAAGTGTGATAAGTAAGGATCTGGTTGAGAATTATAAAGATCTGCAAGAAACTTTTGAGGCTTCCTAGGACGTACGCTCTAGCTCGAGCATTTCCATACTGAGCCTTGTGACACCCTGCCTTGACACGTTTTTCCAGTTCACCCCCGAGCTTGTTTATTTTTCCTGGGCGATTAGCGGCATAGTATGTGAGCTTGGAGAGCTCCTGCGCATTCGGACGATATTCAGGACCAGAAGAAGCCAATACTGATGAAGAAGGATAGCATGCAGCAATTAAGGACACGTGATTTGGGGTGAAGAGGTGCATCTGAGTAAAAGTAAGTCCTGCAAAGAGAGCCGCTCAATGATTGGAAGAAGAGTCTGGTGATTAATTAGATAGGCATAAGTTGAGGAAGGTACATCATCGAAGGTGCTCTAGGTAGACCTTGAAACGTGTGGGCACGAGACTGTGAGAAACTCCCAAGAATGGTAATTAGCCCCTGATTTGCCCCTGATCGTAATACGCTCGTGCTTGTTCAACGTTCCACTTAGTTTCTGTACATGACACAGGTCATTTATCCCCTTCACATTCGAGCCTACTGGGTATGTACTAGAGCATTATACAAAGAAGAAATAGCACTGATAGCCGTGCCATCATCGGGATGAGTAAAGTGTAAACCATTATGCGCAATCATCATGTCATGGTGTCGTGCCATGTCAAGACTCTCTTCGTCCTCGCTCTCCTCTCCAAGGGCATGAAATTGGCTCCAATCAAATCCAACGGGGTCCAGAATAACATCCTTCAGACTACTCAACACCTCCAAGTGAGACGCCTGCATCACACTTATCCAGCGTTTACTGATCATCCAAGTGGCTACGCCTTTAGGTGGGAGAACGAGGCCTTCTTTTGGTAAACCATGAAATCGTTCTTTCCTTCCGACGCCTCTCCGCGGCTTTTGTGAGTTATCCGCTTTTTCATAATTATCCAGTATGTCGAAAAGGCGTAGTAACCGGGTGCTACGCCAAGGGAGCCCCCGAACACGTAACGAAGTCGTACGGGAACCGACGGCCGGATCCTCTTCAGTTTCGGATTCCTCAGAAGACATACATTCCATTTGTAATGCGCCGTCAAATACGACATGCTCGAAGGCTTCAACTTTATTTCGAGCGTCTGAGCGATTGCTCAGTTTCTAGAGTGCTTCTAGTCAATTATCGGATTTATCTTGTTGGTGGAACGGACAACCTCACCGTCTTTTTACGGCTTAATCTTCTGGAACGCATTGCTTTGACATCTTCTCGCTGTTTCTGATTTACAGCGACAGAGGCGTCCCGCTGAGCTCTGAATTTCTGTCTGAATGTAACGAATGCCTGGTCGAAAACAGATTCCAGAGATTTTTTGTTGAAATCCTTATCGGGAACGTGTTTGTACAGGTGGCGATGGGCTTTGATGTCATGTAGCACACGTTCTTTCATTCGTCCATTGTGGACAGACTGTTTAGGTGTCTTGTCCCAGACGAAACGGACAGGATCGTTGGGGCCCAGCACAATACCTTCAGTGTGAATATCAGGAAGGTGTTTGTCGTCCTCGATCTGCATGACGCGCAAAAGATGGCTGCGCATAGCATGCTTGATTTTGTTATTAGTATTGAAATGCAGATTTTGGTGTTGGACTTACCTGTATGGTAAGACAGCGAGTGTCATGATGATTTTTTCGTTTTATGGGTCGTTCTACTAATGAATACTCGGAGCCGTCACTATCATCTTCACCACTCGTGGTATCAATCGTGGGTCTCTTGCGTGGATTAGATGAGCTGCCATGCCGGGAGGATGAGGGATCAACGTTAATAAACCGTGCTGGCCTAGAAAGAAGGGGGGAAGCATGAGCTGAGCTTGTGGTGTTGCCAACAGAAGGAGAACCAGCAGGCGGTTCTGAAGCTGACGTGTGAGGCAAGATAGGGGGTGATGCAGCATATCCTAGATCGGGCGATGCATAGTGTCCTGTGATTGTAGAAGAATGGGATAACACAGGCGAAGTCATTGGCGTGGACTGTTGATCCGTTACGGAAGGCGTCTGCACTGAGGGTGAAGTCGCCGGAACTTTCGGAGTCCCAAAGGCGATCTTCGCCTTGAGCGCACCGAGCTCTTGCTGCATCTCGAGCATTCGACGCTCCATTTCTGCTTGTCGTAGTGTGTACTTGGCCTCTTGTTCTTGTTCCCATGCAAGTCTCCGTTTTTGTTCTATTTCTTGCGACTCCCGTGCTGAATTTAAGTAATTCATCACTATTTGGAATGGGTGAGCTCCACTGGAGGTTGCATTGCCAGTACGGACGGGAAGATTTCTGGACAAATATCAGCTTGATTGTAAATAAATTGACGTTACCTACTGAAGAGGCGTTGTTGATGCCGCAGGGGGCCTCTGGGGCTCCGAGATGGCAAGCTCAGGCTCGCTGTGATGTGGCTCATGTGCTTGGCTGGGTTGAACGGACTGATTTTGGGTGTTCGAGGACCTAGGCCTTGGTTGTGCAAAGAATGGATTCAGAGCCTGCGACAATTCGCTGGTGGGCATTAGGCCGTGGGACAGTCAACTTCGACCTAGCCAACCTGTCGGTCCTTTAGACGCGGAGGGAACCGATCTTTCAGAGGTGTAGTATTTGCATATGTTAATTTCTGAGGCTGTCGTTAAACACAACCAAATAGACTCGCGAGACGCGTCAGCGACTGAAAGTAACCCAGTCATTCTTTCACTTTATTGAACATGGAAGGCATGGATGGTCTCGCAGAAATGATGGGTGGTCAGCTTCGTGGAATGCGGGGTCCTCCGTCAGATTCGGCAGTACCTGATAGGTGAGTTCTGCTGGTGAATTGATTAATGTGTTACCTCATGATCGGTGCAGCGGAGAAGTCATTCACATATCATCTCTGGCACTATTAAAGGTGAGGCGTGTACAAGCACCGCCAGGAGATATGCTTATCACTCGTCAGATGTTGAAACATGGTCGAGCTGGCGTTCCTATGGAGGTCATGGGCCTCATGCTTGGAGAATTTGTCGATGAATATACCGTGCAAGTTGTGGATGTCTTCGCCATGCCACAGTCTGGTACCACCGTGACTGTCGAGTCGGTCGATCATGTTTTCCAAACTAAGATGCTCGACATGTTGAAGCAGACAGGACGGTGAGCGGAATACACCTTTACTTAGCTGTGCGCTGATGCACATGCGCTTTCAGGCCGGAGATGGTGGTAGGGTGGTACCACTCGCATCCAGGGTTCGGATGCTGGCTTTCGAGCGTTGACATCAACACACAAGAAGTATGCCGCCTCGCGTTTGACATGCATTCACGATTGATTTCCTCCTGCAGTCGTTTGAACGCATGCAGAACCGCTGTGTTGCTGTTGTTATCGATCCTATTCAGTCCGTCAAAGGGAAGGTCGTCATTGACGCATTCAGATTAATCAACCCTCAAACCGTTATTATTGGGCGTGAACCGCGACAGACGACATCCAACATCGGTCTCATCAACAAGCCGTCCATTCAGGCACTCGTGCACGGACTGAATAGGCACTACTATTCAATCGCCGTTAATTACCGCAAGACAGAGCTTGAACAATCGATGTTGATGAACCTGCACAAGAGAAACTGGACAGAAGGTTTGAAGTTGCGTGACTTTTGTTCACACAAGGAGAGCAATGAGAAGGCTATTAAGGTCAGTTATCTATATTCGTCGACTTTCCAATACTGACAATCCTGGTCCCTGAAGTCCATGCTCACGCTGTCTGAGGCATACAACAAATCTGTGCAAGAGGAATCGACGTTATCTGCGGACAAGCTCAAGACACGGCATGTGGGGAAACAGGATCCAAAGCGACATTTGGAGGAAGCGGTAGAAAAAGCAATTGGGAACCAGGTGGTGCAGAACCTGGGTACGATGTTACTGGCCGAACTATAGATTCTCTTTCGTCGGACTTCTTTTGCATTCCCATGGGTGTCATTCAGAAGCATATCGGGCTCGCAGTTAACTCGCGGAGTTCTGCGTGATGGAGACAGAAGCCAAGAGTTCAAAGTCGAAAGGGTCCCACAGAGCAGAGCCTTTCAAATTGTCACATGGCTGTGTAGCACTTCATGATGCATCATGCATCATGCCTTACCCATCGCGGCGATGTGAAATTAAGTTCGACCAGAAGGTTTTGGATTTTCAGATAGTAGAGCTATTTCTGAATGGCTGAGTGCAATATGACAGTGAGACCCTCGACACCGAGTGGCACTCAGGGACAAGAACACCAACTTCGAGTGTACTTCGTCTATCGCAGCCACCGTGAGCGAGTTCAAGTTGAACTCTAGGTTGGTTCGGGCGCTTGCGAGATTTCATCGGGTAGGAGGGATCTCAGCTGGCATTGTCCAGTGACCACGATGGTGTGCGGGTGCGTATCTACGGGTAACCTTCCGTCCTTTTGTCACAACTAACCGCCATGTAAGGAAGACTGTCCGTTTTTCATATGTAATCTGTACGCCTGTGGACATTGCTAGTACAATTAACCGCTGTCAAAGCAATCATCGATGCGGTATAGCTCCAGTGTGATCTTCACCCGCCGGCAGTCTAGCTTTAAGGACGCGAGTATAAATTCCGCCATCAGGCGGGGGCCATCCTACCACCGCAAGCGAAGATGGAAAGCGAAAGATCAGCCGCGTGCCCTTTTGTTTCCAGAGACACAAGACTGTGGGGCTACATCTGCCGAGAGGAACAATACTGCCAAGAAGGAAATTGACTTGTCGCTCAGCTGGACGATTGGTGCCGGTTCCATAAATTGATTAAGGCAACAGATGAACGAAAAAAAGTATTGATAGATCAACAAGAGCAGATGCAGATAAACAGGCGGGAGAGGAGTAATGATTAATGTTAATTCCAAGGAAGCCTTGCACTACTGAGTACGGGGATGACGCCCATCATCTTCGCGCGACGGATGGCTTTGCCCAACCTGCGCTGTGTTTTCGTGGTGAGGCCAGTCTCAGCGCGGTGCTTGATTTTTCCCATTTCGGTGACAAAAGAGCTCATAAGGACATCATTGGAAGCCTCTTGCAGAGGATCAATGCCCAAGCGGTAGAAGACGTCCTGTCGCTTCGCTTTTTTTTTTCCAGGACCGATGAGAGGTCGTTTCGAAAATGGCGGAGGGCCTTTGAACCGGTGATCGTGTGAGAAGTAATGAGGTCTTATGAACTGAGATTTGTATGAGCACTATAAAATATGGAACGAGCTTTTAATCGACAGACCAGTTTGTGGTCGAACCTTCTGCGCACGCCCTGCTGCATCCATGGTGTATTTGGGTTACTTGCTAAGCAAAATTGATATATGAGGGTACAGGTAACCTTGAAATCGTGACTGACCTGCAGATGCGCTTGCCTCGGAGAGCTCATCGAGGATGGTGCTCAAATGTATCTGGTCATTCTGTAATGGTGAATGAATGGATCTAGATACAGGAGGAAAGCAGGCCCTGGAATGCGGACACTGTCGGGCAAAGGCGCGAAAAAGCGATAGCATGCGGTCTGTGTGATGTTGTGGCAGAATTGCAGAGGAGGAGCGGCAATTATGTAATTCCGAATAGATGGGTTTCATTCTCACGGGGTCGGAGATTGCCTATAGATTGGTGTGCGACCCCCAGTCACCGATATTAATATTAATAAATTATTGAACTAAAAAGATTTGAACTATCAAGCTCCGTAGATTCGAGGATTGGGCGTAGTCCGTTTAAAAAGCGAAATTATAATATATTGTGTATTGATAGTGGGATTTGTAGTTTAACGGATTGTCGTGACTCGTGAAGAATCCGTCTTAAACCGTTTCTAGCTATAGACAGGCTGAGCTTGGTTTCAAAACGATCCCGCTCCTGATCTCTCTCTTCACCTCCTTTTCACACTTTCAGAATCATAATTCCTGCAAGTCTTCCTCATGTTAACTTGACCTTTAATTACCATCATCATCTCTCTTCCAAGTCAGTTTAAATACTTCTTCTCTCTTCTAAGTCTGACTATCGCTTACAACCTCCTAGCGGCATACTATTTCTAGTACCCTGGTCTGGCATTGTCTGACAGGCATACATGTCTGATTTTGCCAGTATTCATCGTCGTCAACCCCCAAGTCCCCTCGTATTCGCTCCAGAGTCAGTGCTACCACAGCCTATTTCTCAGTCAAACAGTAGCACCTCCTATGGTTCAGGTTCAAATACCGTCTCCATGCCTTTCGTTCGGCGACATGTCACTCGTCGTCTCAAGACCGCAAAGGCAGATTGTGACAAGGAGCTACGTCGTGTGATAAACAATATCACTGCCTTCTTCGAAGAGAGACTTCGCGATGGTGACCAAGAACGCGACATCGATCGTGACTATCGGGACAGGGACTTTGACCGTGACTCTCAGTACGGCGACGCAGAGCCTCTTCGCGAGGCCTTCGTATACCACTCTTCGGATCCTCGGCCTGCTTCCCAGGCTGATACTTATTCTGACAGTGGCTATGAGCTTGAACAAGAAAGAAGCCATAGTCGACAACGTGCGTTACCAGAGGACGACAGTACAAAGGTTCCCTCTCTGACTCATCGGGTCTCATCACCTGGTCTCCTTGCAGCATCAAACTCTTCCCTCAGTCCCTCCTTGCGAAGGTATAGCAATTCGACATGGGAGAAACAAGTTGCTTCCACGCCGTCTTCCAGTAATTATGTCCCTAGCCCCATTGTTGCAGCTGCCACGCTGGCAGACGTTGTCAATCCTCGCAAGCAATCCAATGCGATGCCTCCCACGGCTTGGCCTGCTCAGAGTATATCTTCCCGTAGACTTTCACGCAGCGTTCACATTCCCATCCGTCCAGTTAAATCCGGCCAGAGTTCCCGCTCGACCTCCCGGTCTAGATCCCCACTTCCGCCGGCCGCAACACACAGTAGCTTTTCCGAGGCCATTCCTTTGCCTTCTTCCATCAATCGTCGCTCTTCCCGCATACTACTGGATGACCCTATTGATCCCATCATGACCGCGCTTTATGACCTCATTGGCGTAGCAACAGATGTCACTGATATGTCAACAGCCTCACTCACAGCCCAGCCTAAAGTTTGCGAGTCACTCGTTCAACGGGTACAGATTATTGGTAAGGCGTGGGATGAGCATCCAGATTGGCATGGGCGGAACTGGTATGTGCAAGTCCTACTTGCCGTTGCCAGTCTCAGCCGTGTAGTCGAATGGTGGGAGGCCGAAAAGCAATTCTGGAATTTCGATGATAATGAAGACGAGCAAGACGAACCCCTAATGTTCGTCTTGAAGCCACCCGATGAGCATCCTCCAGCGCCTACACCCACTGTCCGCAGTCGCCAGGAGGAGCTACGTCTTACGGCCGATGATGAAAGTCGACTTCGGTTGTCAAGGCCGATGAGTCAGGGAAGGCGTTCCAGAGATGATGCTCCAAAAGATCTTTCATTATCGTCTCTTTCGCCAGAACAACCGGCACGGAAAGCCGTTGAACATAATGAGTCTGCACGCGTCCTGGCTACCGAAAGATTACGTCTGCAAGCTGAGACTGCACAGAACCAAAACATCGTAATGGAGCTAAGTTTGGACGGCGACCACTTTATTTGGGTCAATTATGCATGGAGAGTTGTTGTCGGGTAAGGATATTGTTTCTGGCGATGTTCGGCTTGTCTGACGTATTATGGCGCTTAGGACGGAGCCGTCGAAACTTGCTGGAACTAGAATTTCACATCTTCTCGCCCCTGCAGATTGTTCCGTTTTTCGGGATGCCACTTATCAACTACAACAGGATGATTCGCATACTGTAGAGGTGCGCTTCGGACTTCAAGTCGAGCCAGAGGGCGACCATGATGCTTCAATGTCTGGCATTCTTTACCAACAAATGGAGGGCAAAGGCATGCTCATGATCGACCGTGAGGATGCACAACCGTCTCACACGATGTGGGTTGCCAAGCCAGTAGGTTCCCCAAGATGGGATTATCCTTCGCCCTCCATTGTCCTGGAATCCGGTGATGTTGGAGATGGACCCATTGTTGAGGAGCCTTCCAAAGAACTGCTTGCCGACCGCTCTGGACTCGAACCAGTGACGCCCTTTCCCTTCGTGCAGCCGATTTCCATGGAGCCCATATTGTGTCGGATTTGCGAGTGTCAAATCCCGCAGTGGTACTTCGAGAAGCATAGCGAGACCTGTGTCGAAGTGCACCGGCTTGAAGCTGAGATTGTCGAGTGCAACGAGTCTATTGGCGAGCTCAAGAACACGATTCGAGACATTATGACTGCCATGGATACTCCTTCCCCAACTTCGCCCCCCGAATACAGAGGAGTCCCCGTTTTCACGCACTCAAGTTTGCCGAGCATCCCTAGTCCGTTGCAGTTGTTCCGGCGGGATTACATGCAGAGGTTGAGCATGAAGAAGACACAGCGCAGGATGTTGGAATCGCTTGACGAGATTCTCCTGGTTGCTTCTGAGATTTCCATGCCTTCTCTGAAGGAGGAGGAGTCGAAGGAGCCAATCGAGCGTCAGCGGTTACTTTCGCCAGGATCGGAGCGGAAGATGTCCCAGATCCGTACATGGTGTCGGCCGCCTGTTGAGGATGCTGCTCTCTCTCAGCTTGCTGAAGACGTGGAGCGTATCATGATGCAGAAGGTTGACAATGTCGTTCGGATGCAGAATACCATCAAGTACTCCGAGAAGATCTGGCACGAATGGGAAGAGAAAGTCACCGAGAGTCTAGCGATTGTTGAAGCGGGTGAAAGTAGCGACAGTGAAGATGAGGGTGAATACCACGATGGAATTGATCCATCGATTCTACCTATTCCCGAAGACGTAGAGGCACCGGTTGACGACGATCGTGCCACCAACCAATCTGAAGAACTACTGTCGTCCGAGCCTACCCCCATGGCTTCCGCGTCTCCTATATTGATCGCTACCCCAAATGCTAGTCGCGCCTCCGTTTCTGCTCCTGTACCTCAGTTTGCTCCTCCAGCATGGCAAATCATCAACAAGATGCCCACAAGGTCGTCCACGCCATCATCCATATCTTCGCCTCTTGCTTTGGCTGCCCCAATCACAGCATCACCATCTCCCGACGATCAGCCTCCATACATGGACCTCAACGACAGTCTACCAGGGAATGCTACCGTTAGAACACGACGTTCGGCCAGCAACCTTCTGGAACCGCGGCTTTTGGTCACCCCGCCCCTGTCACCCAGCATATCCCCTCGAGATGCGCCCACTGCTACACGACGCGGGCATCGCCGTCATTCTACAGTGAATCCCATATTTAGTCCTTCAGTATCAAATGTCCCTCTATCTCCTCGCCAATCGTCTGCAGCTCCTTTATCACGATCGACTCCGACTTCTATCAAAGACTTTGACATCATCAAACCTATCAGCAAAGGAGCCTTTGGATCTGTCTTCCTTGCGAAGAAGAAGGCGACCGGAGACTATTACGCTATTAAGGTTCTGAAAAAGGCCGATATGATTGCGAAGAACCAAATCACGAATGTCAAGGCGGAGCGCATGATTCTTATGAAGCAGGCCGAGTCGCCGTTCGTTGCCAAGTTGTACTTCACATTCCAGAGCAAGGAAAACTTGTATCTGGTTATGGAGTATCTGAATGGTGGCGATTGTGCCGCTCTCATCAAGTCTTTGGGCTCGCTTCCCGAAGAGTGGACGAAGCAGTACATTGCTGAAGTTGTACTGGGGCTTGAGTATCTCCACCAGCGTGGCGTTGTTCACCGGTAAGTTCTACAAAATTTGCAGAAGCCGCATGCTTATCGTTTTTGCAGTGACTTGAAGCCTGACAACCTTCTCATCGACCAGCATGGTCACTTGAAACTCACTGATTTCGGTTTGAGTAGGATTGGTCTCCTTGGTCGTCAAACGCGCGAACCCATGGGCATGGGTATGAGGCATCGCACAAGATATGATTCACGTTCGCGACCACCTTCAATTGACTCTGGCTTTCTTTCATCACCCTTACTTTCAACCGAAATGATTGGCGGAGGTTCGTATTTTAACCAGGGAACACATCCGGTGCCACGACAAGGAATTTCGCCTTATCAGCTTTCCACAGATGACGCAAGCGAATCTGGTTCCGAATCTATATACAATCATCATTCACGCCGAAGCAGGGCTGGTGAAAGTCCTCTGCAATCATTTGCCACGGAATTGACCACCGACTTGCGCTCGTACTCGGGTGGTCACACACCCCCGGGGGAGCAGAAGTTTGTTGGTACGCCAGATTACCTTGCTCCAGAAACCATTCTTGGCCTTCGTGGAGATGATGCTGCAGTGGACTGGGTTAGTGCCTTATCATTGCCTTGTGCGTTCACGTTGCTAAGCTGTTTACCGCACAGTGGGCTCTTGGTGTCATAACTTACGAATTTTTATACGGCATTCCCCCCTTCCATGCGGAGACGCCAGAGAAGGTTTTCGAGAATATCCTTTCTGGACACATCGAATGGCACGAGGACTGGGTGGAGTTCTCCGATGAGGCCCGTGACTTCATGCAACGGCTGATGTGTATAGACCCATCCGCTCGTCTCGGGGCTGGTGGCGCAGATGAAATTAAGGGG